TAAACAAACTATACGCCTTGTGTGGCAACAAAATGCAAAAGTTTGTTTTGGGGGCAAATATAAACTTTTGTATTTTGTTGCCGAACTAGAAGTAAAATGAATACGGTGATGATGCCAATCTAAGGTGCGGAGTCTCGCGTGTCTTCCTGTTACGATTTGCGAATGACCGATAGCATAATATTCGCATTATTCTCGTTTTTGTCGAAAAAAGAATACCTACCACGCGGTTTGCAGAGGGCTGTACCTATCAGTCCCGCAACGAAGGAGTTTGGACCCACCCCGTTTAGAACGGACCGCGTGAGAAGTCAGCACTGCGTGGTCATCAACACCAGAACTGCTAAGTCAGACCCTAACCGTGTCTTCTCCCATAATGCAGTGGATATTGTGTGACTTTCATGAAATGTTGTTAGCCAGGCAAAATTGCTGGGCATTTACCACATGCCGAGATATCCCTTAAACATTAGCACGTGCATTTGGGAAATGGCTTCGGCCCGCCTCGGCTAATGTTGAAGGTATTTGGGAAACGATTCGGCCCTAGGGCTTTTTGATTTTACCACATGCCGAGATATCCCTTTAACATTAGCACGTGCATTTGGGAAATGGCTTCGGCCCGCCTCGGCTAATGTTGAAGGTATTTGGGAAACGATTCGGCCCTAGGGCTTTTTGATTTTACTGTATGCCTGGTCTATTCAAATACATTAGCCAGAGGGGTGTGGTAATAACTGGTGTAAGCAAATTGACCACGGTCAAAAATGCATTACCAGAATGCACTTAAGCCAACATTTTGGGATGTTCTCGTTCCTAAGTCGGCTAAGAGCTTCGGTCCAGAAAATAAATTTATCGTTGGCATCGTTGGCATACAGTAAAATACATACCAAACTCGGCCGGTGATAAATTTTCAAGACCTCAGTCCTTACTGATTTTTGAACTCGGCCTTCGGCCTCGTTCAAAAATCCAGTAAGGACTTCGGTCTTGAAAATTTATTTACACCGGCCTCGTTCAGTATTATATATTCCCAGACAAAATTTTACTGAATATTCTGAGCGGAAGAACCAATTTCAAAGAAGATATTTACGGATTGTGTGTTCACTAACAGCAACAGCAAAAGTAAGTGACTGCGTGTTTACTTACTTTTGCTGTCAACGTAATTCAACTAAACAAGGTTATCGTTCCAATGCCAATGTATTTATTGCTGCAGAACATGGTCGGAAATCGGAATAATAATTATCTCTACATAATGCACGCAAAAAAAAAAACGATCAATTTAAATGCATGAAGCATCTTAACGTGCCACAATGAAACATTTGATATTGTTCCAGCTGGGATCCAAGACGCGTTTGATTCAGCGTTTCACCCAATTTTCAGTTTTCCTCACTGTTTCCTCACTCCTACTGGACTCCATATCTTTATTCTAACTTCTGGCGTTTCACCATCTTCATCCTCAGCTTTTTCAAACCCTAAATAAGGGGGAAGTAGGAATTTCATCTTTCATACTCAACGCAGCCCAATAATGAAAAACACAAAAAATAATCACAGTGACTATAAATATGAACATAGTACTAATATAATATTAACACAATATTAAGATTAAAGTGTAAAATATCAAATGAATATGATATTAAGTGTTGCGCCGGTACGGCATGTGGTAAATCTCTTCCCAACCTCTATGTTCCCAATCTCTATGTTCTAGTAATCTTGTTCCCAACCTTTGGCTGTGAAAATGCAGTTTTATTCACCGAGGTTTTTGTGCGGAGGACCGAGTGCCGGTAGGCACGAGGTCCGTAGCCAAAAACCGAGGTTCTGTTATATATTCCCGGTCGGGAATATATAACACCAACATGAAACTTGTCGTGTCTTTATCCTGCTGCTGCTTGGTTTTGCCTGATAGTTCAATACAAATCCCAAACCTCCGTAACATGCATACCTACTTGGACTACCCTGACCCGTGGTTTGCTGAGAAAAGCTAACGGACCATGCAACAATCCCTTTTTGAGAGGTTATGTTGCCGTTTTTCCCGTCCATCTGAACCATCGGCACAGCGGTCACACACGGAAGCCGTTCCTTAACCTTCCCGTCAATTGAAGATGTCCGGGTAGCTAACAAGCTGTACACAATTGTAATAATATTGCCTTACTCAGATTTAAATAAACACTTTTTTACAGGCTAAGCATTTTAAAAGCTAATCTGGAGGAGCTAATCTAATTCGCAAACACAATGGGGATCTGTTGTATCCTCAGCACTCGCTGCTCTGCCGACCTCCGTCGAGACACTCCAGTTCTCTTGCTTGACTCTATATTGTAACGGGACTTGACCACTTCAAGAGACACACCCAGTTCCGCCGCCCAAAACCGACTGGCCGGCGGAACAGACGAAAACACCCGACATCAACCACGCTGCCGACCGCCCGCGGCCTGACCCGGGGCGGCGGACAAGCGACCGGCGACCGCGACCGAAAACGGGACGAACACGTGGACGGGCCCGTATCACAAACGGAGGGGGGTACGGGCCCGTATCACAACAGGATCACGAATATCGTGCATGGAACAGATGAAATAGCCATTTCGTGCTAAAAAAAAACTCAAAATCTTTTTAAGAATGGTCAAATTTGCAATTACGTTCTGAATTGACACACACCTACAAAAGCCACCGCGCCGGTGCCAGTGAAAGGTAGTGTGCCACCTTCCAATGATTTCCCATTTTATTTTTCCTAGGATAAGAAGCTTCTGTTTTTACCTAATATCGCAAAAAAAAAATCAAAAATGAGCCTGGAATAGTGCCTTTTTTGCCTAAAAGCTTACCGGTTTTTCGATATGTACAACAACTGTAGTGGGCTGACCTGCAAACAGGCGTCGGCGACAATCGCGAATGCGGCGCACATGTGACAATAAGCAAAGGTCATTATAGAGTTACGACGTACGGGAATGAGTTATCAGCTGTCTAATCGTAGACAAGACAATGTCAAACTTAAACTGTAAGCCTGTATTGGTATTGTTTCTTTAATTTGGCTGTCGAACATTAATTTATGGTTTGAAATATGATTTTATGTAAAATAATTGATATGAAACAGCCGTCTCTTAAGTTATGGCCCCATTTCACCACACGCAAGTGGCAGAAATGACAATGGGCCTGTTCCAGCGCCTCCAGTAGAAATTCTTGACTGGAGGCTCTACCAGAGGTTTTACTGGAGGCGCTGGAACGCAATCTGGAGATTTCTGGAGATTGGCATCATATATACCAAAAGAATGACGATTGTTCTCTCTTGAAACACAAAATTTGTTTTCAATTTTATTAAGAAAGATTAACAAAATTATGGCAATGTAATATTCTTTACATTCAAGTAGTAAAATAATCAGTCAAAAGTCCTTTGTTTACATTCGTGATTGTCAAATGTGCGCCATAATTGTAGACCAGAGCCTCCAGAGAAATTTGGACCTCTCAAATCTCTGGAGGCTACTGGAGGTTTCTGGAGCTTTGGTGAGAGCTTTCTGGAGCTTTCTGGAGGCGCTGGAACGCTCTCTGGAGGATTCTAGAGCTTTCTGGAGCTTTCTGGAGGTTTCTGGAGGCGCTGGAACAGGCCCAATGATCAGCTGACGCATTTTTCTTGGCCGAAGTCAGAGCGCGCGGCCCGACGCACCACGCGTATTTGGATTGGAAATTCCGACCTCGACGAGCATCAGAAGCCGCCTAACAGGCGTGTTCGAAACCGCAGATGATGATGAACGGGTTTATCGAAACTTGATTGGATGAGCCTATCGGTAATAGCGATTTTAGTGTGTGCATTTATTGTTCATAGTGGTGTGAAATGTGGTTGGGGTACGACCGACAACCCGTCGGAGCGAATTTCGCACTGGGGTACTCAAAATTTAAAGAATTTAAGACGTTTCCATGAGTTTTGAAGGTATGGATAAGTTCTAAAAATCCGGTTCTCCTTATCCGGGTCATTAACTTCATATGGTCCAAGAAAGCTGGCACACTACCTTGAATTATCACGCCTGTGTGAGGATGTACTCCATGGTGAGCGTTGCAGGATGCTCTAGATGGCTCCAGATGCAATACCTTTTAAAACCAAAGGTTTTATACGATTCGATTAAATGTCACTAGCACTATATTCACTGGATCACAAAAGCCGTTTTCACTACAGCTTATTGGGCGAATGCACCAAACTTGACCAGATCTGCACCAAATCTCTTTTACAACAAATGTCGTAATATAATGAATTAATTTCAGTGTTTTTATTCAACGTGATGTCTGAAAGCTTGAAAAAATCAGGCATATAAGCAATTATTAGTGCAACCCTAGCTGATAACAGCTAAAAACACAATGAACCTAATTTGACCAAATCTGCACCAAATCTGCACCAAATGTGAACCAAATATGCACCAGCTAGCCGTCGTAAAAACGGATGATATCATGAGGTAAATATTTCTGTTTTCTTTAAAGGAAATACAATTTTATGCGCATTGCTTCAAAAAATGGACATGATTGATAATCCAGGCTATGCAGTTTAGATCACTGAACTTTGGGTCAGGAAATGCCTTGCGGAAACGCACCCATTCACATAAATCTGTTCAAGAGGATGCAGTTTTTAATTAGCAGTCCAGAGGTCGATAAAATGCTTGGAGTTGCTCCAACGAACATCTTAGTCCCATCACTGTCTCCAGCTTAGCCCTCGCCTGGCGGGAGGGGGGATGCAGCCTCCCTAAGTTTTTTTTTTTGTAAAAGGTGGTGTCGCGTAGCGCCGCAAAATTTGGCACAACGTCTGGGAATGAGCCTCTTGCGACATATCCTGAAAATTTCAAGTGCCAGTCATTTCAGGACCTGGACTATGACTATGAAAAGTACGACCAGTATTGGTACTCACACCTTTCCTTTGAATTAGACGGATAAACAGGCGCCATGCCTATAAATTTGCCCAAGCAAATGATATGCTAGATGAACAATGCATGCACAACTGTCTAATCACTGCCAATTGCCGCGTCGGCACACCGGCATCTCCTCACCTTCTCCCCACACGGCCTTGACTCCCCAACTCACACCATCACACTACTGCGTACGGTGACCGGTCACACGGTGGATCTGAATGCCTACGTTTTCATGCCAAAGTCTGAAACAACTAACGATTATCATCAGCGTAGAAATGTTGAAATTTAGCATTTTAAAGCTTTTAACTTAAAACTTTATAAGTGTGTTTTAACGCACTTGTCCTTATTGATTGAGAAAAGAGCGCACTTTTGATCGTATTACCTTCTACGAAGCAACGCAATCGAAGTGTGATTCCGGTCCACTGTGCGTTTTCAGGCGCGCTCGATAAAACACCCAGGCCTGGAGAAAGTTGGAAGGGTGATTTTCTGATCCTCCTTACCACAAAATGACCCTAAGCGAAAAAATGCCCGCGGGGCGCTGCCAACGCGTGCCAGCGGCCCTGCTAGTAAGGGCGAAAATCAATGCATGTGTATGGGGAGCACACCCTTAGCGCTACGATGGCTCCTTGGAGACACCTGGAGAAACCTCTGCCGGCAGAAGGGTCAGGTCCCTCGCAGACGGCGCGGCACGGCGGGAGCTTAGCGGGTGGCCTAGCCGGAAAGAGGATAAAAATAGCCGACTGGCCCGACCCAGCGAGGGGTGACCGAAGGGTGACCAGGAGTGAATGAGGGAACATACACGCGGTACCGAGCAGCCGATAACAGCACCGGACGATTAGAAAGTCATAAGTCAATGCTGCATTTTAGGCGTAAGGAAGCATCTATCTTGCGCCAACGAGCGTTGGCACGTTGGAAGTTTTATCGACCACTGATTAGCACGATCTCCCTTAAAATGGTGTAATTAAAAGCTTGGAATCCAGTCCAAACTCATCGCCAACTCGGCGCAGCACCGCGTCCCTGGTGCTCCGGTAACCGTGCGGGCCTCACCTGGTCCTCAGCAGTAATGCCCGCGCTCTGCCACGGCCCGAGGCAGTCTCGGCCGGCGGCCCCATGTGCGCGCGCGCGCCTGTCTAAAAAAAGTGGTGGTTTTCTACCACAGACGCTCGTCGAGGTCCCACGCCGCCGCCGCCGCCGCCGTCTGCTCAAATCGATCCCTGGGGAGCGGCGGCGGCCCTCCGGTCAGCTCGGCCGCCCTGCCGGCGACGGGTCGTGACACTGCTCAAAGTGGAGGACCGGGCTCGGCGTCTGCCACCCACACGCTGCACTCTGCAGCTGGCCGGCGGGTCTGTGTCCTGAGGAGGTGATAGGCTGGGGAAATTGCAACTACATTTGGGTAATGGGTATTAAGTGTAAACTGTAAGCCAAGCAAAGTATTGGCCATAAGTGGTGCATTGGTCATGCGTCAAAAGCACCAATACGTTTGAATTTGACAGTCACTCCCACCGTCCCAGCAGGACCTCGCTACAGGCCTACAGCACGCAACTAAGAGCAAAGCTGGGTCTCAGGCACCAAGCGTGTCTCAAAAGGTCCTGAGGCAATATATGCGCGTAGTTGGTACTTGCATAGCTATAAATGTGAATTACCTACACAATTGTCCCTTCCATCGGTAGACTGTCCTTCCCGTAACGACTGTCCTTCCCTTAACCCGCGCCCCAGTGGCGGTCTCAGGCCTCAGCCAACTTCGCCCTAGTGGGGGGGGGGGGGGCATATGTTACCACCCACCTCTAACTCAAAAACTAAGAGGGCGGGCGCGGTAAAAAGCAGTCGATAGCTCTCAATGCGTACGTTTGAAAGTATTTCGGTCATTTTTCACCTTAGAGCAATATTGGGGTCACCAGAGGTCATCAAAGGTCAAAATTTGCCAATTGTCATTATATTTTTCAGAAAACATGCCGCTATCTCAGGAACTATGGTAGCTGGGAAAACGCATGGAAAAGCAATCGATAGCTTTTGAGCTTTTCTTTTGAAAAGGTAATTATCAATATTGACCTCAGGTCAACGGTTTAGCATCCAGAGGGCAAAAACTCCAAAAATAGCTGTTTTTACGAAAAGTGTTTTTCGACAATAACTTTCGACTACAAAAAGCCACGACATTTCAATTACCAGAATCGTGTTCTCCTCGCCGAGACGCGTCGAATGAACTATAATTTGACCTTGAAAGGTCAACTTAAAAATTTGACCTCAGGTCAAGGTCATGACCTGACCGGAAAGGGTCATGCTGCATATCAGTCGATCCGTTTCGTCGAGCTGAACACATCTAAGGCGTTTTCATCGCTCTAGCATGCCTTTATCAAAAGTTATTTGCAAAAAACTGTTAGATACCATTCGTGACCTAAGATGACCTCAGGGCATAAACAAGGGTCACGGACACCATTTTCATGTTCAGTGTGTTTAAACCACTTGTAAGTCGGTGTTTGGGAGTGTTTATAATGTATTTCGTCCAAAAGAGGCGCATTTCAATTTTCTCCCATTGACTTATAATGGGGAGGTTGCAAAATCGACCTGACCTTAGGTCATCGATATCAAAATTCTGAGATATGCATTTTGTACATGCTATTTATTGCTCTTAGCAATCGCTGAAAGTTTCAAAGCGATCGGTCACTCGGTGTAGCTATGACAGACATTGAAACTTTTTATGAGGTGAGGTCACTTCAAGTGACCTGGTGACCTGACCTTAAATGACCTTGGTCTGAAATTTTCACAACATTTGTAGAATTGATGTATGATAAGGTGTACCAAATTTTGAGATACTCGCGAAAAACCACAAGGGGGGTGCTCAAACACCCCCCCCCCCCCAGCAGGGCGCGGGTTAAGCTGTGCAAATCGTTGTTTCTTTAAAAGCTTTTTTTAATAATTCTTAACATGGAAAGTCAATGGGAGCGTCTTTGTTGCGTAATAACTTTTTACGTTGCAGATATATAAAAGTGAAAAGTTTATAGAATATACAACATTTGATGCTCTTTCTAACGATGTATATACCGTCACTGCACGATGTGCCGTTTCTAAGAAGAGTTGTAAAAAAGCAGGGCTCGACTGTGACTTGAACCCAACCACATTAGAGCATACGAACAGGTGACGGGGATACCTCCTGTGTGCGGACGCGACACTGATTATTGCTGAATATTAGCAGTCGGCCGCCGTGCGGGCGCCTTTGCAAAGCTTATATCTCCACAACCGCTTGACCGATTCACTCGCAGTATTTCGTGTGGGATAGCTAATTCCTTTTTTTACACGTAGTGTGATATTCTCGATGCGTATGGGTGACCCCTAATGCACGTGCCACGTGCAAAACGAAGAGGTGTCAGTTCGGTAACAAGTCTAATTACTCTGTAAAGTTAGTTTGCCGATTGCGCTGATACTTGGCATGGATGTAGGCAACCGCCGGGCAATGCATACGGCGAGTAGGGTGCCGTGCAAAAGTCCAATGGGACCCATTTTGCAAAGTCCGATGGGACCCATTTTGCACGTGCGCACGTGCAGGCTGACGCTTCCAGATCTCAAGAACGGCTGGGCCGACTGTGCTCAAATTTGGCATACCGCTAGAGACTGGTTAGTAGGGTGCCTTGCACAAGACAGTTAGTATGTATTTTCATGTGCCAGGGTTGGGGTGCAGCTGCACGTGCGCACGTGTAGGGGTCGCTTCCATGGATCTTGGAAACGGCTGGGCCGATTCAGATTAAATTCGGTACACCGCTAGAGACCGGTTAGTAGAGTGCAGTGCACGTCAGTTCGTAGCACACCCACTCCGGTCTGCACGTGCAAGGCTCATCGTCTCGTTTGGCGGCGGGCTTTTTTGCGGCGTTACAGAGGTGCTTGCTCAAACAACCTGCGGTCCCGCGATGCGGAGCCCAGCATCGCAGATGCTGGTAAATCCTGACAGGTGTCGAGTGCAATGCTCAGCTGACGAGATAAAATGCCAATTTTCTGTCAGATTGCTCCGCAGATGCCAATAAGATGTCACTGGGGAAGCCTCGCGAGGAAATCGAAACACGCGGACTGTATGAACTCAATTGCATTAAATGCTTGTTGGGTAAAACAAAATAAAAGCTGGCCGATATCATCCAGTAGCAATAAGTGTTTTGTATGCTTAAGCCGCTAAAATTTTATTGACCAACAGTCACGACTAACCCCAATTCAATTTCGATTACCATAGATCAGCCTTTTGCGCCTTTCATAAATTTTGTAGTAGTTCTGCTTGGATCCGTTTACTGAGCGCAAGCTCGGGGCTCTTGTGATTACGGGAATTATCCGATAACAAGGGGGAACTGTGCTTGCATGAAAACGAAAGAAATAATCTACATTGAAATAAAAGGAAGTGTGAACCTAATAGGTGGAACCGGATCTAGAGTCATTATAACAAGATAGCGAAAGTCGTCAAGAAAATAAACAGCCTTCGGAGATGTGGAAAAGCAGCAATACGTGGACGAGCCTCGGGAAAAGGAGACATATTCCTCAGGAACTGGAAATGATTGACGCAGCCCGCAAAAGGAAACTACCGAGTCGCGCATTTGAGATGAACACCAGCAGGCCAGCACAAAGACAGGTGAAAATGGAAAGGGATGCAGAGAAAATCTGGAGAACGGAATATGAGCAGGACTGACAAACGTAACAAATGCGCAGCCAGAATAGGAGACGCGGAATAACTGCTCGAAACAGCTGCAGTAACAGCGAGTCTAGGAATATTGGAACTAACGAGTCAGGAACCGGCAGCCGGACAACGAAAAGGAAAACACCGTCGACAATGGACAAGGAACTGTGTAACACATCAGCTGGAACCACGGATACTAATGGAATGGCCTCCCCCCTCGATCCATAATTATTCCTCCCATCGACAACACAAACACCATTCTCTTCTCCGTGTATTCCGGCCGTCACGACACACCCGTCACGACCATCCGACCGTCACATCCCGACCAGCGTCGCGTCACACCAAATTCCGTCATCTATCCCTCACACACACCGAACCCTCACACGCGAGAGCGCGGCGCACTTTGTACAAAGGTGACGCAGCGCGGCCAATACGCCGCACTGTCTGGTCAGTGGAGTGCGCATGCGCAGTGGCAGAGGACGAGTGTTGATGAGGAGCTGTGAATG